ATTCCATACCTTTTGAAAAAGGGGACAGATCAAAAAAAAGGGGGGGGGGGGGGAAGGCACCATAGGTCCAGGGTGCTCGAAATGCTTGAAATACAAACATTTTATGCGTGTACTTGTTTGCTTCAGAGAGGCATGGGCATGAAAATTCATAACCACAGCTTCATAACTCACCTCTTTTGCTATACTGGCAGTTTCATACAAAAGAGTGTCAGTGTCTGGAGTGTGTCAAGCCTATGGAACGGCTTCACTGTGTAGCTACAAAAAATATCAAAAGTTTACTTGTGAGGTTAGGGGAAGGCGAACGCTGACGACATCCACCACACTCACAGTAATTGTGGCAGGATCCTTGCGTCTTGCCAGCATACAAAAATGTGAGTAACATTTGAATAAACCCAATTTAGATCAGTTCTTCAAGCCATACCACACATTATTTCCTACTGTTACACCAAATCAAGATCATTTCACAAGTGGCATCTTTGGATTCACATGCTGTAAAGCCAATGGCAGGCCATGTCAATTTTCTGTCATATAATAGCACAAGTGTCCTACAGCTCGAATGCACCAGAAAAAAAATCTCACATGACCAACATTTGAATTAAAAAAAGGCTTACCTTGATACTACCAGAATTCATTATCTGTGCTTATCTGAAGATTTATGGGTAAAGCTTTAATTAAGGAAAGTAAACGCATGCTTTATAAATGGTATGAACTGCAATATAAAGAAAACACTTAAGTATAAATATTTGGGTATATATCTGTGGAAGCAACTAAAATAGTTCACCAGAGAGGTTTATAAGCTTAAAGAACAACTTCACCTTTGGTGAATCTGTCTATTAATAAATACCCCTCAGAGTGCAGCACACCAGGCTCATATCATGCTTCATCCCGAGCCAGCTACCTTTCCTCCAACATGGTCCAAGCCAGCTCATCTTTATACTGCACAAGCACACTGCAGGCCCCATTCATTCCTATTTAAAGGCAGTACTCTGAGGGACCTCTGGAGGCTGTCATGGGTATAGATATCCACAGGAAAGAATGGGACTGAGGCACGCATGCGCAGTATGAGGAGCCAGCCGGGACCATGTCAAAGAAAAGATCCTAACTCAGAACAAGTATAATCTTGTGTGGGCTGCACCAAAAGGGGTTGAGGTATTGATTAGAGGACAACGTCAATGGCAGGTTGTGCTTTAGGCTATCTCTTTAGAAAGCATCGGTTTATCTGTAAAATATTTTAGCTATATAGCAAATTTGCTATAATTAGCTAAAATGTCGCGCTGAAGTTGCTAGAGGGCAAGACCATTATAAATAGGGAAGCAGGTTGTTTATGGCAGTAGAAGTGATTTTTTTTCTGAAGATATGGGTAAACAATGCGATTTAACAGCCTTTGAACGTGGGACGATTGTTGGCGCTTGGAGCGATTATCAGCAAAACAGCAGAATGCGTTAAATTTCAAGAGCAGCTGTTGTTAAAGTGTTTAAAGACTGGACTGGACAAAACGTTTTGCTTTCTGTGTCCTGTTGAGAATATTTTCTTTTTTTTCTCTTTCCTGGGGACACAACAGTGAAAGAAAAACCCTACTATTTGGAGAATTTCCTCTGAATCCTTGTTATTTTAAAAAATAAACAGTGCATTGTCTTCATATTTGGGTGTTGGCACTATGCAATTTCATAATATATTGCAAAAAGCAAACCCAGCATCTTTCCAAGTAAAGCAGTTGCAATTAACACAAAGAACAAATCTGCGGTGGGGCTGGTGCAAACACAGCAGAAAATAATAGGTTTGATTGATTTTGGTTTGTGCTTTACACACTTGACTGGAATTGCAACACACATCCTTGGGGTTAGACAGAAATCAATTTCTCATGAGCACACTTTTTTTCTGGGAGGCCTTCATCAATTTCCTGACAACTTAGTTCCAAAAAGTACTATGAAAAAAAAGAAAAAAAAAAAGATTCTAAATTTACAATAAACAACAGAAATGCACTTGGCAAAATATGGTTTATTTTGCCTTTTCAGTACAAGCCAGGGGAAATGATCCATATCTCCCCCCCACCAATACTAATGAACAATTGAACTTCGGGAAAATCAATGTATCATGGTCTCAGTTTGTGAGCCCAGCAGCATCCCGAGTCATTAACATGAAAGGATATTGTTTTTTTTCCTCCTTTCCTCCTGCGCTGTCACGTTTCTCCTTCTTCTCAGATTTTTCCTTGTCATGTCTAGATTCCTATTCAAAAGAAATAAAAGGACATTCTTTGCTTTAATTATACCTTGTTCTAGAAGCTAAACAGAACTACAGTATTAGGAATACAACAATTACTCTAAACTCCCAAGTCCGTTAACTTCACAAGCTGGAACTAAAGAGAACTATCTAATCCGAGCTTTCATGGGGAAAGGAAAATTAATGAAAAGAAGGCCTAATGTGTTATGTGGTTATAGGGCTTATACAAAGGAAAATGGTACTCATTCTTTTACCCCCAGGTATAGTCAGATGAAGGACTACCATGTACCTTGGCACATCTTCAATGAAATAATACAGGATACTCCTGTTTACCTCTGCTAAGCAAAATCCCTGCATATGCAACGCAAAGCATTTCCACAGGGCCCATTTCTACCTATGCGCACATTCTGCAGTGCATGTGGTAACGCACATGTGTAGTCGTGAATGGCCCCTTATATCTTCTATATTGATATTGTTAAAAAACAAAGCCCTTAGTTTAAAACTGCAGCACTTAGAGCTGAACCAGTCATAAAGAAATAGGATTTTTACTTGAAATGCATTTTCATATACAATTCCTCTGTTTTAATGCCAGAAAATGGACAAGTGTAAATAAACTTTAATGCTCAGGACAGAGGAGAGATATTTAAGTTACTCTGTCAGCGCAGGTTCACTTGTCTAGAACTACATACTGTACCTGCCAAAAGAAGAGTCACTATGCTCAGCTTTCTAGCCGCCTGTTCACCAGCAGCTACATGTATTGCACACTTCTGAGTGTGTAAAATACTTACCTGACCTTACGTCGCACACTGTGGTTTCTCCTGCCAGCTTGTATGTCACTACATTACATTGGGCATGGTGGGGGAGATAGGTATTCAACCCATATGACCAGTCGTATACCTGCAATTGCTGGTGAGCATCAAAAAGATGGTGTTTTAACAAACGACCTGCCAGAAAGGTAAGTATAGTGAGCCTTTCTTTCAGCAGGTATGTAATGCTATACAAATGAGCCTGTGCTGACAGGGTCACTTGAACCACTTTTACACCCCCCACCCATCCTGTCCAGGCTATTTTTCAGTATTCAGCGCTGCAGTACTTTGACAGACATTTATTCCGTCATGCAAAGCTGTGCTGAAACTAATTTTATAAAAAATTTTGGGGCCAGATAGAGCTTTCTTTTGGTGGTATTTAATCACCACTACGGTTTTTATTTTTTACCATATTAAACACTTGAAATCCACGGTGTTAAACCCCCTTCCCATCCAGGCCATTTTTCAGTGTTCAGCGCTGCGGTACTTTGATTGACGTTTATTCTGTCATGCAACGCTGTACTGAAATACATTTTATACCATTTTTTGGGGGACAGACAGAGCTTTCTTTTGGTGGTATTTAATCACCATGGGGGGTTTAATTTTTTACTATATTAAGGGAAAATTACCAAATTTTAAAAAAACGGTTTCCCCTATATTAAATGATAAAACATTTATTACCCAATTTTTCCGTAAAATATAAAAGACGCGGTCACATCGGGTAAAAAGAGACCAAGCATGTCAAGCCTTAAAATTGCGCGCACGCAAAACCTCAAAAAACTACAATACCCAAAATTGGCCGTAGGCGACGCTTTAAAAGCTTTTACCGCTCATCAGTTTAGTGTTATCAGTGATTGCTCTTACTCAGACGTTCGCGATGATATGTAACATGTGTGGCGCAATTGTAATTTTCGCATGCTGGCGCCGCAAATACGTATTTACGTTTATACGTGCGTAAATGTGGGGGTGGGGGGACTTGAAAATTTGGGGGTTTTTTTAACTTTTTTTATGTGACATTTATTTTTTTACTCTTTTTATGTTTTTTTACACTTATTGTTATTGCTATTACATAGGGGGATAACAATTCGGCACCCGAGGGGGGTCACGCAGCCAGCACATACGCGACCGGTAGGCTATAGAGCCGCCGATCGTGTGTATGTGAAACAGCCGGTTAACAGCTCTTTGCATTGAGCAAAAAAAAAATGGAGACGGCAACCCGCAAATGCGAGTGCGCCGTCTGTCCGTTTTTTTGCAACGGGTGGACGGCAACTGGTTAAGGAAATATTACTGAAAATGCTGACAAAAAAGTTTTTTTTTTTTAACATTATAATACAATTATTACCCATTTTTTTGGTAAAATATAAAAGACGTGGTCATGTCAGATAAATAGACACCAAACATGTCAATCTTTTAAATTGATTGGCCCTACAATTATTGCTCTCACTGTGATGTTCGTGGCGATATGCAACATGTGCGGCATAATGGGCGCAATCGTTGTTTTCGCACCCGATGCATGTGGGTGCTGGACTTTAAAAAAAAGAGTGTTTTTTTTTAAATTCCTTTTCATGCGTGACTTAAAATTTTTTTTTTTTTGCAACTTTTATTTTCTTTCTTCACTTAACTTTATTGTCATCACATAGGGGGCTAAGAAATGTGATAGCAAAGAGGATGTGACAGGTCCTCTTTATGGAGACATCAGGGGTCTCCAAGACCCCTAATGTCACCTAGGGACCTCCAAAGAAGCTGATGAAGCAGAGATACATACCGGCACGTTATACAAGCGATCTGCTGGCTTTATAGCCAACGGATCACATGTATGTAAACAAGCATCGCTGCCTGTTTTTACATTTTGGCACTTTCAGGCTTGCGCAAGTGGGTGTGGCTGACGGGGCGTTTAAAAACAGCCGCTCAGATCCAGGAAGCTCCCGGCCGGCCGTTTTTTTTTACAACGGCCAGCTGGGAGGCAGTTAAGCTGAAGTGCAAAATACATATTCAGAGTTGAGAAAAGCTTTGTAGCCGTTTACATTCCCTTCAACCATGATACTCTGTTATTTGATATTGCTATACTACTACAGTGTAGGTTATAAGCATGAGGCAGGAAGCTGACAGGGCAACAGATATAGATAGGTAGATTATATATATACAGGGCTCGAAAAATCCACTCGTCCACTCGTCTGTGACGATGTTTTTTTTCAAATGAATTTTTTTAAATATCCCGTCGGTTCCGCCCCCCTGTGACGCATACGCTCGCAAGCGACGTAACCCGGAAGCCGGCATCGGCCGCAGAACACAGTGCGGCTCGAGGGACAAGGTAAGTAAATGCTATGCAGCTTTCCCGAGTGTAGCTCGGGATTACCGCTTATGGTATGGAAAAGTAACCCCGAGCTACACTCGGGAATACCGCCAGGGAGGTTAAACAAACTACTATGTTTACATTGATTTGTATAGAAATCCCAAAATGTAAAAAATAAATCTGTATAGGATATATTTCAGAATAAAAATGGAAGGGTTCATACGATACATCAATGGGATGAGTTGGACTTATATACAATCCTCTGCAACAGATAAGACAGTACAATGAAATCTTGTTTGTGAACATTTAAAAAAATTCTATTTTTGTTTTACTCCTATGTACCCTGTCATTACACACCAATACCCCAAGCATGCTCTACAACGGAAATTAGGTTTTCAAGAAAAGACTGTTATACATATATCTAGAACCGGCTTTTCACAAAGGGAAACTGTTGCAAAGATTAAGGTGTGACCATGTGACAATCTTATTATATGACTTCCTCAAAAAACTAGCACCCAGTTGTCAAGTGATATCAGCAAGTTCTGTAGAGGTAAATTTGGCAATGCATGCAGTATCCTCCAGCAGTAAAACAGGAAGTTGCAATCTCCTTTAATACTATATAGTAAGGATTGTGTCATATACCTTTTTGCTGCTTGAAGAGCTTTTTTCCATCTTGTCTTTCATAAGCTCCCCCTTTTCTTTATTCGAAGATTTAGATTTGTTTCTGTCTTTTTCATTTGAGTGTGGGGAATCTGATGGACTCTCACTTTTACTATGTTTCGAGGAGCCACCTAGAACAGCAGCTTGTATTAGAAATAAATTTGAATTTTAGAAATCAACTGCGGATATACAGAACAAATACTCTGATTGAACATGCTTATTTCTACGTGCTAGCTGTACAATGTTTCCATAAGGGCTCTTTCACACTTGTGAAACGCTACAAGAGCAACACGATTTATTAATGCGCATATAGCATTAACAAGGAATTCAGCAGGCGGTTTCAAGGCATTAGGGAGGCGTCAAAAATGCTTAGAAAATACCCTGTCCCAAAAAATGATTTAACCCCTTCATGACTGAGCTTGTTTTTAGTTTCTGTTCGTAAATGACTGACACACTTTTGACATTTTTGCTGTGATTCTTCCACGTCAGTAATATACTTTCTTACAAAAGTGCACCCACACATATAAATATGTAGCCCAACAATATATAATATCACATATGTGTGTCTAACGCCTCACTTAGGACAAATAAAATATAAAAAAAGGAGAAAAAAAAAACCTTAAAAAAAACACTTTTTTCCCAGTTTTGATTTGTAGTATTTTTTTTACAAAACCATAGGTCTAGTAGGAATTTTAAGGGTTAAACCCACCCCCAAAAAACAGGAAGAAAAAAAAAGGGAATGTGGGACCCCTAAAGTTCTTACACAGACCAGGTCTGAGCACGGGCATGGCAGGGCAGGAAAGGGGTGGTGGGGGGGAGACAAGCGAGCAGCCCCCCCCCCACCCCCACTCTGCACCAAACCAGGCCACATGCCCTCAGGACTGGGAGGGTGCTTTTCCAATGTCCCCCCTGAAAAAGCACCTCGTCCCCATGCGATGGGGACAAGACCCACAGGTGATGGCCAAATGGCACCACTACCCCTATTTGTTGACATTTGGCCGACACCTATGGGTCTTCTCAGGCCACCGCCAAATCAAAACAAATGGGTTGAGCCGGCCAAGAGGTCGGCTGGCTTTTTTTTTATTTCGACATGTCAGTGTCATTGTTGACAACGTGATTAACCATTGGTGGATGCATTTTCGGACTATTTGGGATTTTTTCTAATTAAAGGACTTATCAAGAACTTGTGTAGTGTTTTTTTGTTCAAGTAAAGGACTTTTTAAAAACGTGTGGTGCATTTATTTCCATTTATTTTATTTTTTTGGGGGTGCGGTTACAATTCCTACCAGACCTAAAGTGCCTGGTATGACTTTGGGGGGAACACTTTTTTTCCTTTTTTTAAAATTAACTTTATTTCTGGGAGCCCCTCCTAAGTTTCTGACCAGACCTAAGGGTCAAGTATGGATCGGGAGTGGGAACCCCACACACTTTTTTGTTTTAACTATTTAACTTTGGGTCCCTCCTATTGCAAAACCTTGTTTAATGCCTTGTCAACGCTCTAGAGTGTTGAACGAGCTTTAAAAGGTGGTTCAATAGATTTCAATGGAGGCATTATTCCAGCGGCAATGTCTCTAGAAAACGACATGGAATCTATTTTTTGCAGCAAATATGTTAATAAGCGGCGTTAAAAACACTTCTCCTACCCCTGTTTTTGCCGCATGTGTGAGAGAGCACTTACTGTATAACATACATAGCAGATTTTCTATCTTGCATTCAAAGACATTAAAAAGACTATAGTCTAATTCTATACAGCAAATCTGTGATAAATGAAACTAGATAGTAATTAGAAGAACAGGTCAATTTCAAGTAACACATTTATGACAAATGCTTTTCTTCCTTTAAAGGGTATCCCAATGTCCTCCATTAACATTTACCGCTGGAATCCAAATGGCGCTGTAATGGACGCATTGTAGGACATTGGTTAAAGCTTGTTAAACAGTGTTTAAGTGACTAATAAATATTATTCTTCCACTGAAGTCAAATAGAGTATCTTTCCAATCTAACTTTAGACTTATGATCTGAACAGTCATGACAGCTGTGGTGGTAAGCAAAAACTGAAGCCCATCCTGAGAAAAATGAACTATACTCACTTGTTCCATTTTCTTCTTTGCGTCTCTTCTGGTCTTGGGTCAATTCGCGGTCACTGTTTGAGTGATCCTGTGCAGAAAGTAAAGATAAATATTTAAATGTGCATTGGGGTTTAGTGCTAGGAATGTAAATGGCAAGTCCACCTTAAACAATTCAAATACACCTCAGGCAGTCTGGTGGCACCAAATTCAGAATTTCAGTTCTGAACATTGAAAATCTTGTACACCCATCTACCACTTTTATGAATCTTCAGATCCAAACACCATTTGCTCTTGCCTCTGAACCCTGCATTCTTGTACTTTAAAGGGAAGCGTAAAGGGTTTTGCCATAGATTTTATGTATTACAATTGGGGCTAACACACAAATTTGAAAAGCAGAAAACAAATAAACCATAGACCTGATGAGCAAGAGCTGAGATTATGCTAACAGACCAGCTGAATGACTCAAAGAAAGGACACATCCCCTCCTCTTTAAATAAGTTAAAGCTTTCCAGATCTTAAATTTGCAGAGATAGTCATCAAGTATAGACCCAGTGCTGGACCATCGTTTGACACCCAAACATGCACTGCAAACAATGAGACATGGAAGCGCTGTGTATTAAACGTTTCTTTAGAAAAATAACTGACTAGAATTCAATTCACTTTAAATTGAAAGCTATGGTTTTGGATGATTTAGATCACTTTTCACCATCTATATAGTCTTTACAGCATGTGAGAAAGAGGACACCACTCCTTCCTGGAATTTACATCGCTTGTGAAGCACCCAAAAAATCCCAGTGTATTCAGTCTTTAAAGCCCAAATAGCTGCACTCTGGTGACATAACTCCAATAGAAACAACATTATTGGTGACATAACTCCAATAGAAACAACATTATTGACTCCAACAAGATTCCGCACAGTCCCTCTCAAAATCTGCTCTTCTCCAACATGATTCACTACAAAAAGGCTTAGCCATAGAGGTCTACGAAACATGTTAGAGCAGAGCAGACTTTAAGAGGGACTGAGCGATATCATGTTGGAATCAGTAAAGTTGTTTTAATTGGAATTATGGCATCAGAGTGAAGCTCTGACCAAATAGTCTTTAGTTTACAAATAAAACACAAATGGGGTTGATTTCCTAAAGTCAAATAGACTGCTCACTTTGCAAGGCAATTTGCACTTTACAAGGTACATTTCTCTTAGCTTAGTGAATGAGGTGAAGTTCTGCTGACTTACATCAACCAATTATTTGCAAGCAAAAAAAAAATTATTTCATTTTTCTTGCACAAGAAACTTCCCTTGCAAAGTGAATGGCCTATTTGCAAATTAACCTTAATGCCTCCAAATCAGATTCACTTTGCAATATAAACTGGACTTTCTAATCCGAAAGGGCAGCAATATTTTATATTCACCCAATTAAAAAGACAAATATGAAGATTTAAAAGAAAGATATTCCCTTTAAAAAGAATACAGCAGAAGGGAGACCCTCCCCCCACACGTGTTTGACCTCCTAATGGTTGTGGCAGGAGGCTAAGCGTGGAGCTCTAGCAGATCTATCAATGTTGCTTAGCCCAAATTGTACAGTATCCCATATTTTCTGCATTACAATCACTACTACTAAGGGACTATAGTGGGGGATTCAAAAAACTTTCACCCAGGATTCAACATTTCCACCTGAATCCAATTAGAAAAATGGCTGAATCCCAGGTCAAAGTGATGTAAATCCTCAGTGAAAAATAGATGTGAAATAAATAGACCCCTTAATGTTCACATCATAGCAGCAAACAAAATGACACAAACCCTTTTCCTTTCTTTTCTTTCTTTTTCTTCCTTTTTCTCTCTTTCCCGAGACCTTTCTCTCGTTTTGTCAATCTCTTTCTTCTCTACCTCTTTCTCTTTGCTCTTGGATGTTGGTGGTGTAGTGTGGTTTGTGTAGTGCTGTTAAATGAGAAGACATTGCAAAGTTACAGCCTCACGTAGGACACACAAGTCAAGACATCTATCTGCAAACACTTTAGGTTTTAACAGATGGGCTGGACAAGAAAATAAACTCAAAAAAATGTCATTAGAGCGATTTGTGTATTTCCTGTCAAAATGTCTATTATTGGTTTTGTCAATAGCAGTGCAGTCATTCTGAATTCAGAGAGAAGTGTGATGCCGATCTTGGAAACATTGCACACAACTACATTATTATGGAGAAAGCATTTTTTTTTTTTTTTTTTTTTTA